TTAAACCATTTGTCATCAAGTTTGTTCCAACTTAATGGGAACTCCAGGTAGGTTAGAACAGGACTGTCCGCCATAGAGCTTTCTAAGGTGTGACCTGTAAGAGTCAGATCACCAGGCCTTTCTTCTGAGGCACCTCTGGATGGGCTGGAACTATCAAACTTTTAGGTAAAAGCTGAGTGCTCAGGGACAGGAAGCCAGATTCTGGTCCTGGCTCAGCGAGGGATCTGGGAAGAGAACCCTGCAATGAACTCTTGGCCAATTTTACCCTTCCTCTCACCCTCCCACTTGGCCTTGTCTGTAGGGAGTCTTGCTGCTAACCCAAAGGTTGTGTCTCTCTGGCCCTTTTAATCAACCAGCAGCCCCAATAGATGGGCAATCTTCTCCCCTGAGATTTACTGCTTTAAAAACCCACTGGAGGGTCAGTTATGAGTCAGTCCCAGCTCCATGGCAACAGCTTTGAGTACCACGTAGTAAAAATCTGACTACTAGCTGAGTACCTGGGACAGAACATTTCATACACTCAACTTCCCTACAGGTGCAGACTGGTGAAAGAGCACAGTGCTGAAGTTAACCCTTCTCACTGTATGTGGAAAGTACAAAAGGTGGCTGTATAAACAGACTTTAAACTGAGTGCTTTGTGATACTGAATTTTTGTAATTATACTAAGTATGTTATAACCTGAACAGGGTTCAGATTTGTTGTTCACAGGTTCGCTATGGGTCGTACTCGACTCGATGGCCCCTAACAACAAGAGAACAAAATGTAAACATTCTTCAAACATGTAAACTCCCATGCGTGAACGTCTAAGTGAATTGTACCCAACAGTACAGTGTACTTAGGAGAAATTCAACATTTACTTACCAATGAACTTCTGATCTAGATCAGCTATGCCCTTTAACAAAGGAAAGGATTCTGCTATGACGATAACATGGAAGGGCAGCAGAATTGCTTTCAGAACCCATGTCCCACATAAATTTCCCCTTCCAACTTACTACACTTCTTCCTGAATAAAAGCTCACGCCCCTTTCTTCACCAGCTCTTAGAACCCCTAAGTGGTGCAAACGGCTAGGCACTCAACTGCTAACAGAGAGGTTGATGGTTTGAATCCACCCCAAGCCACCTCAGAAGGCAGGCCCTAGCAATGTGTTTCTGACAGGTCACAGGATGACAACCCTCTGCAGTGCTGCTCCGCTCTGCTCTCCGGCCCTGGGGCTCCCATGCACTTGGCTTTGCTGGGGGTTGTTCCCTCCTGTTCTTTGAGCTACTGAAGGAAACTCGACTCACCCTGGCAAAAAGCATGGCAATGGAGGGCCAGCTCAGTCGCCCTCCAGTGCCTCTGACCCCACCCCCATCTCAAAGGGCACAAACAAAGCTGGGTGTTCTCACCCCGGTCTAGGCACCAACACTCGTTCCTCACTCTTCAACTGTCATGTGTCACCTTGAAGAAGTCACCGGAGAACTAGAAATCTGGCTCAAGAACACATCACAACAGACCACCTTCATCATAAGTCACCTTCCTGCCCTCTAGAAGTACATTCCCCAATGGGACTCCCCAAATCCAACTGGGAGCAGACTGCTTCTCCCTCCCAGTGGCTGGTGAGTTCAAATCCTTTTGGATTCCTGTCCAAAACTTAACCTTAGCCACCAGGGGTCCCTATCCCCATCACACATAGTCATATAACTTGTGAGATGGACTGACTCAGTGACTGGGAAATGGGGGTAGGTGTGTCAGAGACAATAAGGTTGACTCAGAATAAAGCAGGGGCCAGTGCTGTTGTACATAGGGTCACTAGGAGTCACAGGTGACTTGATGGCACATAACAAGGTAGATACTGAGAAGTAACCCCAGGGCATAAAGATTTTTCTCCTCTAGAAGTTTTATGGTTTTAGATTTCGCATTTCAGTCTAGGATGGGCTTCAAGGTAATTTTGGGGACATGTTGGGAAGTATGAGTGAAGTTTTTTGTTTTTTTTGTTTGGTTTTTTTTATGTGGATGCCCAACTGTCTCAGCACCATTTGCTAGAAACGTTCGTTAAACTGGTTGTTTGCCAAAGAGATAAAAAATTATCAGTAACCAGGGAGTGGGAGAGAGGAAAGTGAGATCAAGCAGAAACTGGCCAAAGAGCTTCGCTGAGCAGAGCCCCGGGCAGGTGTCAAAGGAGCCGCTGCTCTGAGCGCTACCTGACAGTCCGAGGTAGAGGCCACCTGAAATAATGACACACAAACCAAGACTTGTTTCTCAATGTAAAGCCTTTCTAGGTATGGAATACAACTCACAGCAAAACTGTGGGAGCAGAACTGGCCCATAAAATTGACAGACGCCATTGGGTTCGGTAGTTTATCTACGGAAACTATGCCTCTGGCCAGGATTCCGGTCTTCGCAGGCCCTCCCCCAAGCGACGCCTAGCCTATGGCGCACACGCCACCTGCCAGATCTTAGATCCCCTTGGCCGGGCCTCTCTTCTCCAGCATCACTGGATGGGTTCCAACTACCAGCCCTCTGGATGGTGGCCGAGCCACCGCAGAGTCCCTGATCCCCAAAGCTACAAGCCCACCATCTTTGAGGCAGCGCCGAGAAGCCGGCACGTGCACCCTGGACTCAGTCGGAAACCTCTGCTCAACCACAGACTCCCATGCCTGCCGGTTCCCACGCCCGCTGCGTATGAGCGTATGAGTATGAGCGTATGAGAGGCACCAGCCCTGAATCAGGACCAGCGCGGGCCTGCCCGGGACTTGGCGCGCAGGGAAGCGCCGCAGGTGCAGACCGGGAGCCTCTCTGGGGTTCAGCCTGAGGGGAGCGCGCCCTGGGTGCAGACGGGGTACCACGCTAGGGTTCGGCCTGTGGGGAGCTCGCGGAGTCCCTCAGCACCAGGCAGCAGAGGGTGGCGCTATACGCGCGCCTTCTTGCTCCGCGCCCTGCAAGGCTGGTGGCTCGTGGCTGGGGGTTACCAGGGAGCCAGGGCCAGCAAGCGGCTGGAGAGCAAGGTGTTCCGGGTCGGAGCCCTCAGCAGCTGTGCTAGGGAGCACGGCTGCCATCCCGCCCCGGCAAGGAGAGGGCGGGGGCGGGGGGGGGGGGAGGTTGGCGGTCCCTGGCCCACCTGGTCTCCAGGTTGCTGAACTTCTTAGTGACCACCTTGCCCAGCTCCAGGCCCAGCCGGTCGGCCACGCGTTGGGACAGGTCCTGGTGTGAGGAGCCGCTGAAGACCATAATGTTCGGCATGGTGGAGTGTCCGGAGCGTGCGGAGGCAGCAGCCGTGGTGAAGGTGACACGCTGGTGGGAAGGCGCAGCTGCGGGACCCGGTGGCCGAGCTGGTGAGTGGGAGAAGCGGGAAGGACTTAAGTGGGGAGCTGGAGGGGCGGGGCTGCGGGGTGAGAGACTGCGACTGCGTCACTATGGGGTGGAGCCAAGGGCGGAGCCAGAGGGGAGGGGGTGGAGGGGAGCGGAGAAAGCGCATAAAGACCAGTAGGAGTGGGAGGAGGCCTGGCCACAGGGGAGGGGAGACCACGGCAGTGCGTCAGGAGGGGTGGGGCTGGAGGGAAGGGAGGAGGGAGAAAGTGCATCAGGAACTGCGAGGAGCTGGGGGAGGCGCCGGAGGGGAGCTGGGGGAGGGACACAGAAGCTGGGTGGGAGAGTGGGAGCTGTAGGATGGGAGAACCGAGCAGAGCGGGGAGGAGGAGGAGGAGGAGCTGGGGGGGCAGGGAGCAGGAGCTGCCCCAACATAAAGGTCCTGTGACCCAAGGTGGTCCTGAAAACACCTGCGTACTCTTCCTTGTGGCTTAAAGGGTGAGCTTCTGTTGCAACTGAGATTCCTTTTTTAGGGGAGGAAAGCAGACTCCTGGACCCAGTCTTGACTTTCCTCACCTGCCTCAAAGGGGAGGACAAAGGTAAAGCTAAACTGGATACAAAGGTGGGATAAGGGGCGATTAAAAGACCCCCAACCCTAAGCATGCCAAACTTAGAACAGGTGTAAGTATAGCAGGAAGCAAACTTTCACTGTCCGAGGGCCACTGGTGGGTGCTGTAACCAAGGAGTCAAGAATGGTTTTCAAATAAACGTTTGAAATCGATGTAATGATTGGCTTTGGAAACCCAAATAAGAAATACGTTCTTCCCCAAAAAGAATTTCTTCTCTTCAGAGGTTTATTCCAAAACATACCCAAATATTATTAATATACTTTGCATTTTGCTAGTAAAAACATTAGTGTCATGCTTCTCTTGCGATAGCAAACAAAAGCCAAACCAGATGAGTCAAGGCTGTCCAGACTTCTAGCAATAGTGATTCGTGGAGTTTGCAATGGCTGCTTTTAAACAGTAGAATTCCAGGCTTTTCTTCCCAAGCACCTCTGCGTGGTCTGCAACCTCCCACCTCTTGGCTAGCAATCATATTAAACATTTGCACCAACTAAACATGCCACTGATCTCAACTCGTGTGAGCCTCGCTCAGGAGTCAGACGCTATAAGACTTTATAGGAAGAAAGCTTTCTCCTGAGGCACAGCTAGTAATTCAAAGTAGCTGACCTTTCGTAGCACTACAATGTTGTTGTTGTTGTTCGTATGTGCCATCGAGTCGCCTGCAATCCATAGTTACCCTATGCACAGCAGCTCTTAACCCTGCACTGAGCCAGTCTCACTAATTCCAACACACCCACTGCCCCAGTTACTCTATCAATCCATCTCATCCAGGGCCTTCCTCTCATGCACTACTGTCTCTTCACCCTTCTGAGCATGATGTCCTTCTCCAAGGATGCAAGGTGTAAAACTGTGAACAAACACAATGCTTTCCCATCTCACCTCTCTTCATAAGTCAGTGAAGATCGTTATTGGTGTTGTTAGGTGCTCTTGAGTCAACTACGACCCATAGCGACCCTATGAATGGCAGATCTGAGCTCTGTCCTATCATATGACATCCTCACACTTCCTGACACACTAGAGACTGCTGCAGTCACTGTGTCAATCCACTTCACTGGGGGGAGGGTCTTCCTTTTTTTTTCATCTACCCTCCACTTTCACAAGAATAATGTCCGTCTCTAAGGAATAGCCTCTCCTACCAACAATGCCCAAAGTATGTGAGGCGAAGCTTTATCATCTTTGCCTCAAAGGAGCACTCTGGCTGCATTTTCTCCAAGACATATTTGTTCTTTTGGCAGTCCGTGGCATATTCAGTACTCTTCTCCAACACCATAAATCAAAGGTATCAATTCTTCTGTCATCCTTATTTAATGTCCAGCTCTCAGATGTATAACAAGTGATTGTAAAGACCATGACCTGAATCAGATGCACCTTAGTCCTCAAACTGACATCATTACTTATCAATAATTTGGAGAGGTCTTTGACTGCAGATTTTCCCACTGTAGTATGTCTCCTGATTTTCTGACTGCTGGTACCAGTGGTGTTGATTGTGGATGTAACTAAGAAGTTGTTGACAGATTTAATCTTTTCTCCATCTATCATGATGTTGCCTGTTTGTCCAATGGTAAGAATTTTTGTTTTCTTGCCACTGACATATAATCACTATTGATGGCTGTATTCTTTGATCTTCTGCAACAAGCGCTTAACATTCTCCTCACTTTCAGTAAGCAAGGTTGTGCCATCTGCATAACACAGATTCTTTATGAGTCTCCCTTCAATCCTGATGCTACATTCTTCTTCATGGAGTCCAGCTTTTTTAGTAACTCGCTCAGCATACAGATTGAATAGGTATGGGGAGAGAGTAGAGTGAAGACAGAAGTCTTCAATGCAAAGATATCATTTAAATTTCCTACATTAAATTTTTAAAAATAAATTCTTTTTTCTTCTTTCCTTTTTTTTTTAGTTTTCTTCAGCTTGATTCCTTAGAGCTCTTAAAAGACCATAATAATTTTTAAAAGGACCATTATTCACCATTGCAAGAACATGAAAACAGCCCAAATGTCCAACCATAATTGAATGGATTGAGAAATTATGGTTCATTCTCACAATGAAATACTATGCAGCATGCAGGGGCAATGATTTTGTAAATTACTACCTAACGTGGGAGACCCTGGAGAGCATTATGCTGAGTGAGCTACTTCAGCCCCATAAGGATGAATATTGTATAAGACCATTATTGTAGAATGAGGATCCAAGAGGGGGGGCAGGGAAGGAGCAGAGGGATAAGGACGGACCGGGGGAGGCGGAGGTTAATCATATGGTCGCACAAATTGATGAGGGGTGGTGAAGAAATGTGAAAGAACTGGTGTGAAAAACGAAGTATACAAATTCTGTAAATAAAACAGCATTTTTAAAAACCCACAACACCAAATCATAATGCTCCTTCCCCTCCCACCTCCTGTATTTAAGCTAAACATTTAAGATACGTATTTTTAAGGTATTAATTTCCAATTACTCCCAGCAGTGGATATTTTTTGGTTTATGATGTAAAGATAATCTCAGGGCAATAGAATAGCTTCAGGAGTTCATCCACTCGGAATGGTTCCAGAAGTCTACATTCCCCACTGCCCTTTAATCAAGATTCTTTCACGGACTCTTTGATCAAAATGTTCAGTAGCGGTAGCCCCCACCATCCATTCTTCTGGTCTCCTGGCAAAGGAGGCAGTTGTTCATGGAGGCAGTCAGCTACGTATTTCATAGCCTCCTGCTATTCCTAACTCTCTTCTATTAATTCAAGGGAACAGAGAATAGTTATTGCACCTGGGTTGGCCACTCTGCAGCCTTTAAGACCCCTGGCTCTACACAATGAACTAGGAGGCACACTAAGCATGTTATTAAGCCAATTAATTGGGGTGCCCCATAAAACCAGGGATGACCCTAAACCCTCAAACCAAGGACCCCAATCCCTTGGAGTGTTCACTCATACAGCAGCAGCCTCAGCAGCTACTCTTTTCCTTTGTCATCCCAGCACATACAGCTATCACACAACTACTGCCATGTCAACTTGTTATAAATATGTAACCTGGTGAAACGAAGGTGTGCCTGATCTGGGCCATGGTCTTCGCAATTGCGTGTTACGCACTGGAGAGCTGGACAGTTACTAGGGATGATAGAAAGAGAATTGATGTCTTTGGTGTTGGAGAGGAGTGGTGAATATCCCACGGACTGCTAGGAGAACAAACAGGTTTGTCCTGGAGAGGGTGAAACCGGGCTGCTCCTGGGGGGCAAGGATTCTGAAGCTTCGTCTGACATACTTTGGGCATATTGCAAGGAGAAGGACATCATGCTTGGGAGGGCAGAGAGACAGCACAAGAGAGGAAGACCCTCTATGAGGTGGATTGATTCAGTGATTGGGGTAATGGGGGTAGATGTGTCGGAGATGGTGAGGTTGGCACCAGATACAGCAGGGTTTAGGGCTCTTGTACATAGGGTCGCTATGAGTTTGAAGCCACTTTACAGCACATAACAACATGCTGAAAACCATGTCAATAACTGGCTGTGCGATTGTCCTCTTAATCAATGTGATTTTGCTATCACCATTACTCTCTCTTCTTTATCCCTCTCTCCTATCCTTGGAAACCCCTAATACCCTTTGGCCTTCATACAATTGTCTTTTTCTTGCCTTTTATGTAAGTGAAACCATATAATATTTTTCCTTTTGTAACTGGCTTATTTCGCTCATTGTAATGTCTGCAAAAATTTTTTTCATTTCAAAAAATTTTAAAAATTCTTATTTTATTCGTGAGAGTTGTTTTGGGGGGGTTCATTCTGTTATTGTTGTTATGTGCCACTGAGTGGGAATCAACTCATAACGGACCCTCCAGTGAGTTTTCAGAAGCTGTAAATTACAAAAGAGCAGATTGCCTATCTTTCCTCCAGTGGAAGCTGATGGATTCAAACCACCTACCTTGGGGAAGACAGTTCAACTCCTTAAAACTAAGACACCAGAGCTTGCTATTATAGCTGTATTGTTGTTCTGTGCCTTTGAGTTGCCTGTAACTCATAGCGATCCTATGTATAATAAGTCTGAAGCTGACACTGTCCTGAGCCAGTCTCAGTGACTCTGACACACCTGGCCCCATTTCCCCAGTTACTGTGTCACTCAATCTCACCGAGGGTCTTCCTCGCCTACCCCAAGGACCAGTCTCTCCAGGCCAAGTGCCCAAATTATATGAGATAAAGCTTCCAAATCCTTGCCTCCAGAAAGCAACTTGGTTTTCCCCTCTTCAGGACAGACCTATTTGCTTTCTTGGCATCCATGGTATGTTCAGTATCCTTCTCCAGCACCATAACTCAAAGGCATCATTTTTTCTT